ATATTATGAAACTAAAACTAATATTTCTTACTCATAATATTAAACTTTAGCCAATACCTATTATTAGACTAATAAGTTTTATGAAATAGGCCCCAGGACTATTATTGATTAAATATCAGAAAGCCAAAGGGGGTTTCTATAACAAAATATATTGTAATGATTCTAATTTGTCGTAACTACATTACAATTTACCAAACTCATTTTATTAAAACTTACCTCGACTAGCCTTTAATGTCCTTCTAAAAGTCGTATGTCAATAGAGCAGATCGTCTCTATCTCAAGGGAGGTTCAAGCCAATATAAGTCAACAATAATACCTTTAGAGGTAGTTATTTAAATTATTTTATTTTAATTTATTTTATTTTAGTTTAGTTTAATTTAGTCTAATTTAGTCTAATTTAGTTTAATTTAGTTTAATTTAGTTTAATTTAGTTTAATTTAGTTTAATTTAGTTTAATTTAGTTTAATTTAGTTTAATTTAGTTTAATTTAGTTTAATTTAGTTTAATTTAGTTTAATTTAGTTTAATTTAGTTTAATTTAGTTTAATTTAGTTTAATTTAGTTTAATTTAGTTTAATTTAGTTTAATTTAGTTTAATTTAGTTTAATTTAGTCTAATTTAGTCTAATTTAGTTTAATTTAGTTTAATTTAGTTTAATTTAGTTTAATTTAGTTTAATTTAGTTTAATTTAGTTTAATTTAGTTTAATTTAGTTTAATTTAGTTTAATTTAGTTTAATTTAGTTTAATTTAGTTTAATTTAGTTTAATTTAGTTTAATTTAGTTTAATTTAGTTTAATTTAGTTTAATTTAGTTTAATTTAGTTTAATTTAGTTTAATTTAGTTTAATTTAGTTTAATTTAGTTTAATTTACTTTAATTTAGTTTAATTTATTTTCATTTGTAAATTCTGCCAAAATATCCAACCTAGTATTACAAATTTTTATGACTACCCTGTATATTTAAGTAAGCAAACTAATAAAATATTTTAACAACAAACCTTACAAATTTAATTATATTAAAGCCAACAGTATTGAAAATGAAACCATAGTTCAATACAATTTCTTATTTTCTAATATAGTATAACTGTTATTAACCATTCATGCCAAATATTCATACCTTAAACAAAAAAAAAAACTAATTGTTATTATTTTAAATAGGAAAAAGGTAAAATACCGCCGTTAGTTGTCTCCTGCGTTTAGAAATTGTAGTTTATGAAATCTATCCTTTCTAGTTTGACAACTGTCACACATGAAGTATTTTTTGAAATTCTGATTAATTACGGCTAGTATTTACTTTTTACTTCTTTTAAAATTAAAACTAAGGAACCTCTGTACTACTATTTACAAATACCGAAGTGATTCTATCACTTCGTACTACACTTTCTAACAGTGTCTATCTCACAATTATTAAATGTATCTCTACTACTCACAGTTCTGTCTGCAATTCAGATTTTCTGCAATTGATAGCAGACTGGAGACTGGGGCTCTGCGAATGTCACTATTTGATCCTGGTCCACGTTTCACACCGATTGTGCCGCAAGCTTGCACAATGGTTTCTGTACAAGGTTGTTACCTTCATATACAAGTAGGTATAAATATCATCCAATTTGCTTAATTAAACATCTTCTGAATAATATTACTTTAAACTGTAGCCGGTTTTTTTTATTTTATACTTAAAATGATTAAATTTTAGCAAGTCGAAAACCCAAAAGACAAATTAACAGTCACCTTTTTTTTTAACCACCCTCATTGCCCTTCACGCTGTTTACACAGCTTATACAATACAGCTCCACAACTCCGGGTCGGCGTCTTTGATCTGGCGGTCGAGAACCAAGCAAGACGGAATGGTGCTATCTCTGTTAGATTCAAGGGAAAAGTCGGGCCCGGATTAAACAATTTTTTTATTATTGAAAAAATTGAAAACCTTGGCGTAATAAGGTTGGTCATATGCCATATTAAGTAAGTTTTGGGAAATTACATTTTTAATTTGTTTTAAATCTTTCAAATATAATTAAAAAAATTATTTAAATATAAATATTACGAAAAATAGCACATCTTTCGGATTAGAGGTAAAATAATTTATATATGGCTAGTAAAATCCTCGTTAACAAATGTTTTGAGCTAAAACAGTCACTTCACGACAAATTGTGGCTTGGATCCTTTTTACACCAAGGGCTTCAATTGTTAAAGAATTGTGTCACGCTCGTGGATGCAAATCAAGTGGTACCCCGTGTCTCTGGCAAGTGTTACTCTTCGCGCAAAGGGTTTATACCTAGATAAACGAATGATTCGACTGAGGTCTGGGAACTCTATGGTATTTTGGAATTATAAAGAATGTGTGCTTTTGTTTTAACAATATTGCTTATATTTAGATGTATTCTTATTATTTGAAATACAGATTTGTAGAAGTTATACTTTGACAGTTTTTATTAATATAATATATTCAATTTTTATCTGACCATACCGAAGTGGGAAATTTTAAAACTTTATAGTAATGTGAAATTTGAATTACAATATTACAAGATATAACATAATTAGTACTTATTTTAGGTAGGTACTAAATTTGTACTTGGAGAAAGTAATATCGATTTTTACAAGAAAACTTGAAAAGTAAATTAATTTAATTCCTATTTCTGATGTAAAACTTAAACCAAGAAAACAAATAAATTGTAGTTTGTTCAACAAGGGTGGATATGATAGCCATATCACACAAAGACGAAGTTTGAGCACGACGTCGTAGGCGGAGAACTCAATCGTCTGATTGTGATATGAACAATCTACTCGATATGGTCAGTATATTTTTTCTACGACCCACTAACGAAAATCTACAAATTTAAAAAAGTATTTTAGGTTATTTAGACAAAATAACTAATTTTAAAATAATTTACGAAGTTGACTAATTTATAAAATAAAATAAACATGAAAAATTAATTAGTCCTCGGCCTAGATTCGATCCCGGACTTTTCGCGTGGAAGGCAGATGCTCTGTCTTCATCTTCACCGAAACTTTCAGGACTTTAGTTTTAATACTCGTAATTAAATTAGTATCATGTAGTTTAATTAAAAATTTTTTTTTTTTAAATGTGGACACAGTAGAAACAAAAATGCTATTATTTATCGAGTCTGCACTAAAATTTTAATGTATATTTAATATCAATAACTAAAATATATATTGACAATTAGTTTAACAGAATTGTCACTTATTTAAAAAAATTTAAATAATAGGAGTTGGGTGACCAAAATATGAACTGTGATTTGTAGATTTAATTTTGTTAAAGTGTTCTTACTACCTAAAATGGATATGAAATATATTCGTAGTTGAACACAATAACATACTTTTTCGTTTTGTAGTATGTGCGTAGATTGGCTAATATCCATGCACAGATTACAAATCGAAAAAGTATGCTATTGCCTTCAATTGAACGAATATATTTCATATCCATTCTAGGTAGTGAGAACACTGCAAAAAAAATAAATTCGCCAATCACCGTTCATATTTTGATCAACCGACTGCTATTATTTTTAAAATTTTAAATAAATGACAATTCTGTCAAACTAATTGTCAGTATATTTTTTAGTTATTGAGATTAAACATACAATAAAATAAGTTATTCTTTTGGAAAACGTTAGCATGGATGACTAAAGGGTATTGGGTTAATTAATTCTAAAAGTGTGGTACAAATGTTATTTTTTGTAGCCAATTCTTCAAAATTATTTTGAAATATCTTTTCAATATTGAATATTAGTTCTACAAATTCATCATTTGACAGTTACAGATTTCCAAATGTATCTGAATTGGCGTTATCATATGCCTTGAAAAGGCAATAAAAAGAAAAATCATCTATTTCAACGTGATCTTTGTTATATTTAAGACAGGTATCGCAGGAGTGGATCCGCAAGGCTTTTATTAAAAGGTAACCACACACATACCTGATAAAAATTTTCTGTAGCAATTCGTCTTTACAATAATTTAGGGTGTTAATAATTTCATCATAAAATAAAATACAAGGTGTTCCATTTAAAAAACATACATTTTAATTTGCCAGGCAAAAACGTGACACCCTGTATATCCAAAGATATTTTTAAAATATGTAGGTATTTTTCAAATCCATATAACTTTTATTTAAAACTTTCTTGCGTGTCTACAACAAAATAATGAACAATAACGCACTAATGGGACACCCTGTATAAATTATATTATTAACAATGAAAATTTCTTATAATGTGGTACTTATCGGTTTGGGTCCTTGGGAAAACTAAAGAATGTTTTCTTGCAGGTATAACCCTTATTAAAACAGCTTTTGATTGCACAAACAGAATGATGTCTTTTTTTCACTCATTCTACCACAGCTAAAGAGTCACCAAAATAATAACAGTACCTTTAACTCAAACAAAATCTACGAAATTATAGGCTCCACGAAATTATACAATCAACGAAATTATACGCACGACTCAACACCTTACCTAAGTACACTTCTGAACGCCAAAACCGTCTTTTCCCTTCGAAGGCGGAGCTTAAGCGATGCGCGACGAAATCGACGCAAACCGTTGCCACCAAGAGAGTGTTTTAGCTGTATTGTATAAGCTGTGCTGTTTATATCCCTCTTTCCTAGTAACCATAACACAAACCAATAAAAACTCCGAATGGTTTATAACATTAAAATTTTGTATTTTAAGCTGGATATTTGGCTGAATTTAACTACTTTTACTCCATATATAACAACATTATCAATTTTACAAATATTTTAAACCAAACATTGAGTTTACTTGTAATTATTTTCCTTTATATGACCAATCAAAATAATCTTCCCAATTTGTGACTTAACTTTGACGTTTTTATCACTACCAAATTTGTGCTATATAGGGTGTTATTTTATGATGTATTATAATATCTTATGTATTTTTTTTTATATTATTATTATTATTATTCTTGTTAATATAATAGTTAAGACATATATTCTTTCCATTGCAATATATTATATAATATATAGGTACAAACTTACATGATCAAGAAAGCATTGAACAATTTCATCTACGTTCTGACAGTTTTCTATAGCTTGTAGGAACTCTTTTTGTTGTTCATATATTTTTTCAAAGTTTCCAAAAAGATGTTTTTCACTATATTTGAGCCAAAGTGGGGTTTTACTTTCTATATAAGGTTTGTATATCTGAAAAATGATATTTCTATTAACTTTTAATTTTATTATACAGTATGTTTAACAATACTCGTATCCCTCGTAACCAAACTGACATATCAAAGATTAATTAAAGGTGCCTTATAGTATTCTATTTTTATGTTCAAAAGAATTAAAATTCAAGTGGATAAGCTGTAACATTTCTAACAGAAAATATCTCATGGAACAGTCACATGTTACACGAAAAAGAATATGTTTTTTTACGAGATTTTAATAAAAATGAAAGTGATTATCATTGCTCAAGCCTGTACGAGTACATCTTGATGAAACTTGGATATTCAGCAAAGGAGGATTTCGCAAAAGCTGGCAAGATGGTATCGATAAGGCAGTCAGGAAGAAGAGTGGTGAAGGTGTACGTTACATTGGTCTTCATGCGTGTTCTGAAAATGGGTTTATTAATGACTGTAGTTTGATATTTAAAAGTGGTAATAAATCTGGTAATTATTATAATTAAATAAATGTTGATAATTTTGAAAGATAGTATGAATATCAGCTTCTACCAAGCTAAGAAGAACCGTCATTAATAATAATGGACAATGCGTCGTACCATTCAACGTTGCTCGAAAGAATACCAAATGCAAGTTTCTCTGATTAATTGGTTAGAAGAAAAGAATATACAGTTTCCAATGCCCAGTATGAAGTTCGAATTGTTATAAATTGCCAAGAAACATGTACCAGATAAAGTATACAGGTATGTTATGATATGATATAATTTAATAAGATATTAAAAATGCATATTTTACAAATTAGATAGATTATTTTTTTGCATGGCCATCGGGTGTTGAGACTGCCTCCATATCATTGCCAGTTCAATCCAATTGAACTTGTTTGGTCTGAGTGTAAACGGTATTACGATGCAAAAATAACTTCGGCAGAACGTATTACTGCAGATACTGTAATTAGTGTTTGGAACGAATCTCTTCAACAGGTTTAATGCAAAGTTTTTTCTTATGCTATGGTTTATAATTGTTATGTAATTGTAGATTTCACCAGAAAAATGGTACTAAAAGAGGTATGTAGACCATACAAAAAAAATTATTGATGAATATTGGGAGACTGCAAAAATCATTGATGCAAGTAATATCTCTCCTGTAATCAGTGATTTAAACGAATCGAATAACGAATTAGATTAGGACTTGTGGGGAGACAACTCCACATAATAAACGTTTATTGTATTGAAGAAGTTGAGTGGTGTGTACACACTGGGTAATAAAAAATGAATCGAGAGTATTTAAAGTGTGTAAATTGAGTTTTATTAATAAAACTCTGTAAAAATTTGTCTAAGCGCTTTCGGCCTATTAGGCTATCATCAGAGGCTTCGTCAATACTCTTGATTCATTTCTTCTTTATTGTATTGTATTTAAAAATGGCTGTTGTTCTACAAGTTTAACGTTACCAGTTTTGTTAAATTTCAATGATATCCAAGGTAATTAGTTTATCAAATAAACCTTATGTGCTTTTTTAAACAGATCTAATTTCTCATTGTAGGTTTTATCCGGCAAGTGATCCTTGTTGTCTTATAATAACTAATTTCAGGAATTTATTTACTAATGTTATATTATTTATGATAATAAATATCAATTAAAAATACATTTTGTTATATTTTGTAATGTTTTGATCCGAGAATAACGATCAAGGAGAAGCGACAGTAGCTGTCGGTGCCTTTGATATCGGATGTACCTTTTTCACAGCATGACTTTGATTGATACACAACTTAGCACGCTGAGAAAACATGCTTATTTTCTACACTGAGCGAAATAGTTTGGCAAATTATCTGAAATCATTGTTATAGTCCATGCGCAAATGTTGTAATCTGATTTAATTACATTGAACTAGTTAGAGTTAATAGCAATGGTGAAATTTCGGCACCAAAATATAATTCATTATATAATAATTAATTATTTATTATAAAAGTAAAAGACGTTTATTATTTATAATTTATCTATAAAATTTGTTCAATATTTCATTTATTTATTGTTAAAAATGTAATAAAAGCCCCATATTTAAATTAAATTACCTTTTCCTTAAGTAAAAATAAGGTAAATAAAATTAAGGGTGCCAAAAAAAATTTAGGTAACAATTAAAAAGACATTAAGTTTGATATATTTAACTAAATATTTGCAATGTGCTTATATTTTCATGAAACTTTTAGGTTTAAAAAGTATTTACATAATTTTAGAATTTCTGGATTTATATTATAATAAAAGGACTTTTAAGTTTATCACTAATTTCTGTATAAACAAGTGTTTTCTCGCCAAGTTAAGCCAGATGTCATTTAAGGTTTATGTATTTAGAGTTAAATACCTGGCCTGGCTATCACCCAGACAATACAAATATGTCCATTGGACGTCCATTCGATATACAATTTTGGATGTCTAGACGTCCAAGAATGAGTTTTTTCTGGACTTCCGACATCCAATAGACGTCCAGTGAAGTATACAAATGGCACACTTTTGACCATTCAAAGGACGTTCAATTCTGGAATATATCTGGACGTCGAATACTGAACATTCAAAAAACGTCCAGGATTATATTTCCATTGAGACCACATCCCCACTTTTTTTACAGAACCGCAACTTACCACACACTATTTTATATTATTAATAATCGTTTATTATTTTCGCAAACCGCTATACACCATTTATTTTTTTTTTATTAAAAATCGCTTGACCTGAGCAGGCATCGAACTCACGACACATCTATTATCGTTTTACCCTTTCAATCGCTAGACGAGCTCGACCAAGGAACCACTTGAAAACTTTTTACTAGATACAGTTATAATTAAATAAAATTTCAAACTTCCGCTGATAGAATAAAATGCAATAGATTTAATTTGTCAATAATATAGATGAGTATTATCTGGTAGGCTTAATAAATAATGACCTAATATGGACGTCCACTGGACGTTAAAATACTACTAAACTTAAAATTAAGTCCAAAAACAGACGTTCTTTGGGTATCAATATTCAGCTGTCAATTTAATTAGCATAAACGGTCTTCTTAAGACCAGTGTTATTGTCCCCATACATAAAGGCGGCAGTAACTACGATCCTTCGAACTTCAGGCCTATATCTCTCATTCCTACAGTGGCCAAAATTATTGAAAAAGTTGTAAAAAAACGTTTGATTCATTATCTAGAAACTCACAAATTGCTGAAAACACAACAGTTTGGTTTTCAAAGGAACAAAAGTACTTCTGATGCGATATTTTCTTATCTTGAACATGCTTATTCTAGAATTAATGTTGACGATTCTGTAGCGGCGATATTCTGTGATTTAACTAAGGCGTTCGATTGCGTCAATCATACAGTACTGTTGGATAAACTTCGAGTTTACGGGATCAAAAACGGAGCGCTGAGTTGGGTAAAATCTTATCTTTCAGAACGTAAGCAAATGGTAAGAGCGTCTCAGGATTCTCAAGTTTTAGATATTAGTTGGGGTGTCCCTCAGGGTTCTGTGTTAGGTCCCATATTATTTCTCCTTTATGTGAATGACTTAGCTCAACTTGAAATTGCAGGTACTTTCACTCTATTTGCAGATGATACTACGATTTTATGGCACAGCAATGACACTTCTGTCCTATACAACACCATATCCTGTGACATTAAGAAAATCAAAGCATGGTGCGATGCCAACTATTTGCGTCTTAATATGGGAAAAACTAAAATGCTAACCCTTAAATGTTCCCTACCAAATATTCAGTTGGGAAGTCATATTATTGAATGTACTGACACAATAAAATTTCTGGGAATTAATTTAGATAATAATTTGAAATTTAGAAACCATATAGAATTGCTAAACAGAAAACTTTCTTCTGGATGTTTTGCAGTCAGAACTGTGGCAAAAGAACTAGGTTTTAAGGCAGCAAAAAGTGTGTATTACGCCCTAGTTGAGTCCCATTTGAGATATGGAATTGCATTTTGGGGAGGTTGCAGCCGCGAATTATTCAATACTGTTTTTTGTCTGCAAAAGAGAGCAATACGATTTTTATGTGGAATGAACAAGCTTGAGTCATGTCAGCCACATTTTATTAGACATGAAATTTTAACATTAACATCGTTGTTCATTCTTGAAACCACTTGTATTATACATAAAAATAAATCGAACTATGTCAATACTAACGCTCGGCTAACGCGACAAGTTGACAACCTGCGGTTGCCCATACCCAAATTTGAACTGGTAAGGGGCTCTTTCATTTATAATGGGATTAAAATGTACAATAAGTTGCCAAATGCTATTAAATCGACGGAAACGGTCACAACATTTAAAATACTGCTTAGAGATATGTTGATGACAAAAGCATATTATGCTTTGACGGAATTTTACAATGACTCTTAAATCGTTGTGACTGTTTGAACGTACATGTTTTTGTATTTATATAATTTTATCGATGTTGTGTTACGTATTTGTATTTGTAATTAACCTCTAATTTTATATTTAACGTTTTTATACAATTTTTAAATTTTTATGCATGTAATTGTTAGTACTACATAATAATTATATTTATAAGTGTTTGTCTATAAGTTCTTGTAGCTTTGACAATAAACATATATTGATTGATTGATTGATTGATTACACTGGATGCTCGGATATGGACGTCCTGACCCTCAAATAGATCTAAAGTGGACGTACATTGGATTATGTGTACTGTCTGAAATAATAATAGTACTTATTTAAGTATACACCAATATTTCCAAAATCAACTCCAGTATAATTCATTCAATAAATGTAAATATGAATTAGCAAAATATCTTTATATTGACATAATTGTACCTTACAATTTAGCCATAATAAAAGGATTTCGCCCATTTTGACCAATCTTAATTGAAACACGCGGATTTATTATATTTTTTTAAATATAATTTCAAAATAAAATAAACAAAATCTCCAGTTCATTGTTTATTAAATTTATTTTAAAGAAGAAAACATATATTTCACAAAATACAATACCTACATATGAAAAATAAAATGTCA